TGTGTAAACACAACAGCAAAGTTTAGTGACACTATAGGTGCTACCGCTTTTGCAAAAGAAACTGCAATTTACAATGCATTTTGAAGCTGTGCAGGTTCAGACAATCCTAATGCACATACAGGATCCCCGATGGGGTTAAATTTGCTACCATAGCATTCTCCTGAGAACTTCTGGTACATAAAAAACGTGTTCCCTTAACCAGAAAGGAATCAACCACTACTTAACTGAGTAAATCAGGAACTATCAAAGCTAGAAAAAGCAGATTACACTGCAGAGTATGATGATAGTGAAGTCTAATGCTTGTATCAACCACAGTACTTTACACTTAGGTGAATTAACAAGTTCTGGTAACCGGAGAGAAATGTATACCAGAAACAAACAGGAAGTGACTACTGGGACTTGGCACTGTCAAATGTCACCATATGGAAGAGGTTAGAAACTTTTTGAAGGCTCAGTTCCTAAGTGGCTGGTGTTATCCGCTAAGGCCAATAAAAACACAGTAGGGAATTTAATTAATTTACTTTTATGACTCCATAATGATTTAGGATATCTAAAAAAAAAAATATATTAAGACCCCAGATAATATAATTTTAGTAACAACTCTTGCCATTTAACTAAACAACACTGTATCATGTCCACTAATTATAACACACTGGTGTTTCTGAACATCTCCCATGTTACTGTGATTTCATTATTAACAAAAACCACTGGGGATGAAGGACAGGAAGAAACCATTCTCCTGGATGCATTATAAGCGCATTTATCTCGCTCAATACACCCTATTTTCTTGCATTTCCTGATTTATATTTTCTGCTCCAGAATGTCTGCTTCATCCAAAAATAAACACAGGCCAGATACCCAATCGCAGACTTGACAGCAAAACACGTATCCAGCAGAGCTTTCCCATTAACCACACGCGGACATATTAAAGTAAGAAGCCAGGACAGTGATGAAAGCGCTATTCTTTATATCCACTTTTTAGCAGAGAGTACTCAAGACAAGAATAGGAACTATAACTGTGCTCACCTGACAACTCTACTTCCAAGTATCCAGGGACCATTTCATTTATTAATCTTGTGCTCACCCCCAAGATGAGAGGAATTTAAAGAGAAAAAGTGTCAGCTCTAATTTGAACCCTTCCTTCTCGACAGGTCCCAGCTACAAAGAACTGAAGCAAGACCATCTTTTTAAGGAATGTACTTTGCACTATGGTGATTAACTTTAAAGAAACTACAGCCCAGCTGATGACAGGCAGAGTTTTCAGACTGCAGCCCCTAAGATCTGAAGTCATCTGTTTCATTTAAGAAAGGCACCGACGCTGCCTGTCTTAACCAGCATCTTTAGAAGTTAAGACAACAAATTTAATGCAGATGCATGGAGAACCTTCCCCGATTTAAATCCCCAATATAACACTGTTTGTACATCATCAGATATACTACTTCAAAGCTGTCTGACTGCAGCTTTCCAAAGTCCTCATAAAAACTAAATGTATATTCCAAAAATCTTTTTACCAAGACACTTCTTATGTACTAAATATTCAGGTCTCCCAGTGGGGGGGGAAGGGGAAATTGTGGGTAGACATCACGAAGCCAAGAATTGTTTCAATGCTCTCCACTGGGGATTTCAGCTCAAAACTGTTCAAACTTCACAGGGTACCTGCCACCTGTTTATTGCCTTGCATTTCCCTCCAGGGAACTCATACAAGCTCCAGAGATGCAACAGCTTCCAGGATGATGTTTAAAGATGCTGGTTTTAATTTCACAGAATTACTAACTGATTTTGGTCCTGACTTGCCTAAAGACACCTACTGCCATGGTGTCGCCCTATAACCAAGTACGGGGCTTGAGTAAACAGCTCCTAGGTACAAACAAGGTGTTGGCCCAAATAATATTTCAGTCCTTTGCACTGCAACTTATTCTCTCCTCCTCAGGTTTGCAGACACAAGAACACGTTGATCTTCAAGTTTTCTGTTTGGGGAAATTAACAATGGCCATACTTTGACACAGACATGCCTTTAAAGTACTCTAAAAATGGGAGGAATACATACGCATAAATTAAAAATATACCCCTAAATAGAAGTTACATGAACATCTGGCCCTATCACCCACCCATTTCTCATTGTGATTTACTATAAAAGTAGTTCCACTGAAATCAAGCAAGCAATTTGCAGAGGAAGTTGCTATTCAACATGGACAAGTGGTGGTAAAACTGGACAACAAATTTCTAAGTAGAACTGTAAGCATATGATTAGCGTATCACAAACAAGCAATGAACTTCAGTGTAATTACATCTGCCAATATACTATTCTTTTTTTCCATTTTCCCCATTCTGTTTTTCACCCCCTGCCCCCTGTCACATACGTAATTGATTTTATTTAGGAAGAAGAGGGCAAAGGTTAAAAAGTCCCTTTGAGGCACTACAGGTGTTAGAAATGTTTAGACTTTGTTTGTGCTAGCAAAAGGGGTTTGCTCTTATACATACATTTGCTAAATCCTATTATACACACGTTTAAAAAAAATCCACTCCTGAATGATTCTGTCTGCAAAGCATCACCATATGGTAGCTTTCACAAATGATCAACTGTACCAAAACATCTAAAAATAACATCTTCCTTAAGTAAAATAAAAACAATTACCAGCAGAGACTTTTGGGTATAGTTCTGAGCTAAGGAATCAATACCACGTTGCTGAAATGTTTCAAGTAAGCATAGAAGCAACCTCCGGAGAAAAACATCACAGCATTAAATAGCCCACAAGCATCAATGATAAATGTAATATACATGTTTTGGGTTCTTTCAAAAGTCTATTCTTAGCTGTAAGACAAACCGAATCCATTTAATTAAAACCTTAGCTTACAAACACATTCACCGAGTAAGTGAAGCTTAACAAATCTAATTTGAATGAAAGGGACTAGCTGGGTAAAGGAGCAGCTCCCTGATGTTCCTTGCTCTGGTGGTTTCATGTAACCACTGATCACCAACTACTACAACAGCAAACATACAACACCCTTAAACTAAATGGGAGTTGTCTGTCTAAATATAGCTACTTTTAAATAATGCATTGTGAGTTATAAAATAAAGTGCTACTGAATTATTTAAGACGGGTCTCATCTTTAACAAAGATATATCACTTTTAATTAAATGAAAAGATGTTCATATTCGGTGTCGCATATTATTGTAAATTGCAACCAGTAAAACAACATTTTATGACTCCAATTATGTCAGCAGTCAGTTTTTCCTACATATATCTGATTCACAGAAATAGAACTGAGCTGCAAACTAAGGTAAGTGAAAGCATCACTTGTAGAGTTGTCTTAGAACTTCAGGTGATCCCAGCTTTACGTTCACTCACAGCCCTCAGATAGAGAATATCCCACCGACCGGTAACAGTTGGGAGGAACTGGCTGGGATCTCAGGCTCACAAACCTGTTTCTGTAACGTTCATAATCCGCACGCTTTCCTTACACAAGCATCAACCAAGGGAGCAAACTCTCGAATACACTCAACACCACTACAGCCAACAAAGCATCATGCTCTGTCACTTTAAAAACATGCTGAAGACCGCCACGCTGAAGCAGTGTTAAAGCTGAAAGTTTGTGAAGAGCTACATTTTCAACACAATGCAAGAGTTGTATGTTATTTACTATAGTAACCCTTCAGCCTGGTCTAACATCTGCAAATGGCAAAATTCACATTTAGCAATAAAATGGGATGACACATCACATTCAGGAGGTTTCAGAAAAAAAAAAAAACTACTTTGCACCTCACCTAACGGGATAGGGCTACTGTTTAACAACCAATACTTTCTGTTTAAAGGTGGCTGCCTTTTGGATGTGGTGTGTGAAAGCTGGAAGGGAGAACAGCAACAACCCGACAGGACTCCACAAAATGCTCTGTACTAACTTTAATGGGTGCTCTGTAAAGGAAACAACAACACATGACCTATTGTGTAGAAATCAGACTCGAAGTGTGATCTGTCTGGGCCTGCTTTGGGAGTCGCTTTGCCCCTCAAACCAGCTGCCTACAGCAAACCCCCTTATCTTAGGGGTCACTGATGCCACCAGCTCGGTGTTTCGTGCCAACCCCATCGCTGAAGGTGGGTCAAATCTACAGAGCCTTAACAGGACCTTTCCACGCAGAAAGCAAGGCAGACCTCGTTATTTTTATACTTTTAAATGCATGCTTCTTGAAGTGCGCTTTAGAAGGGAGGGGGAAAAAAAAAAAGTTAATTCCACCGGGATGACTTCGGCAGCCAAAAGAAGGGGAAAAAAAAAACCAAAACACACAAATCCGGCATTAAGCTGAAATTTTGACAGCCGCTCGGCGTCCCCAGCCCCGCGGGCGAGGATGTACAGAAGTTTTAAGCCCGTCCCGCCTTCCCAAGTGCCAACAGCCTTTCCCTCCGCGGCGGCGCTCCCGCTTCCCCGAACGGGGGGAGCCCGATGCACCCCCCTCCCCGGCGGGCTCGGGGGGTGAAGACGCCGAGGAACCGAGGGGGGAGAAGAGGAGTTGAGGTGGGGAGCAGAAAGGGCTCGCTGAAACAGCCCACCCGCGCTGCGGGCAGGCGGGGAGGGATCCCCCCCCGGCAGCGGTGCCCGGCCGCCGAGGAAGAGGAGCCGGAGGAAAGGAGGGAGGGAAGGAGGGAGTCAGCCCCGCCGCTTCCCCCACACCCAGGACGCCCGGCCAGGGCAGGGCGGCTGCCGGGGCAAGGCGGCTTCCCCTCCGGCCCCCGCGGAGCCCCGCCGCCCCGGGGGGCTCTTCCTGCCAGCCGGGGACAGATGTGGACGCAACAGCTGGACGGGGAGGAGGGGAGAGGGAAGGAAGGAAGAGGCACGGCTGCTTCACCACCACTACCACCGCCACCACCCCCCTCCTCCTCCTCAGGGGATGCGGGCGGGATGCGGCGGCCGCCGGCGGCTCCGGGCTGGCCCCGCTCTTGGATGGGGACGGTGCAACTGGCCCCGGGGGCAGCGGGGCTGGCCGGCTCCCCGTCCCCCCTTACCTTGCTGCGGATCTGGCCGGAGGTGGACACTTTCCGGATGAGTTTCTGGGGGCCCTCGTGTTCCCCTTCGCTGTCCGACGACTCGTCCGCCGGCCCCGCCGCCGCCGCCGCCGGGGGTTGGGGCTGGGGCTGCTGCGGGATCCCGGCGCCGCTCATCCCCGCCTCGGCCCCGGCCATCTTCCCGGACTCCTGCCGAGAGAGAGCACACGAGCCCGGCTCAGCCAGGCCGCGCCGCGCCTCAGGTGAGCGGCGGGTTGAGTCTGAGGGGGGAGCCTGGCTACGGCGGGTGGGGAGGGCCCACGGCGACCCCCGCACCTGCCCGGGCGTCCCCTGGCTCGGGGGCGGTGGGGCTGCGGGCGGCCCTGGGGTCCCCCGGGCGCCCGCAAGTCGCTCCCCTCGCTCCACCGCCAGCCCCTGGGGTCCGTACCCCCGGGGGTGACCCTCCGTGGGAGGTGGGACGCCAAATTCTCGACGTTTCACGGCAAAACCGTGCGGGTCTGAGGGCGGGTGGGCTCCCCACGGGCTGTCCCTTGGCAGTCATGTTGCACGCACGCCCTGGGGAGCCGCAGGGTGGCTGCTTGGGGACTGGGTGGACATCCACACCTTATCCACACCTCCTCCATACCTCCAAGCAGTTATAGTCCCGATATTGAAGTTACAGTCCTTCAATAGCAAAGCGCTGGATAATTTTGGCAAATGCATAGGTTACTTTCCTCTTATTTTCACAAATCACAGAATGATACGGGGTTGGAAGGGACCTCTGGAGATCACCTCGTCCAACCCCCCCTGCCACAGCAGGATCACCTACAGCAGGTTGGACAGGAACGCATCCAGGCAGGTTTTGAATATTTCCACAGATGGAGACTCCAGCACCTCTCTGGGCAGCCTGTCCCAGTGCTCTGCCACCCTCAAAGAAGTTTTTCCTCACGTTGAGATGGAATTTCCTGTGTTCCAGTTTGTGCCCATTATCCCTTGTCCTGCGACCGGGCACCACTGAGAAGAGTCTGACCCCATCCTCTTGACACCCACCCTTTAGATATTCATAATCATTGATAAAATCCCCTCTCAGTCTTCTCCAGGCTAAAGAGACCCAGGTTTCTCCTCTTAGTTTAATTTTCTTATTACTCTATTCATTTTTGTCTTTGTAAAAGAGGAACTTTTGCTTTCGGGGAGAGAAAGGGTCAGTTTTCCCTTTTAATCTGGGATCTGGCAGCTCACACGATCTTGAAATGTCACCACATGTTCTGAATTGTGGGACTTTGAAATTATTGTGGCTTGTATGTAGTCAGTGTTCAAAATAAGCATTTAAATCACAGCAATACTAAATAAAACACACAACTCCTTGCTGCATGGACCGGATTAAACATGAGAAAGCAATCAATACTTGTGGCTTCTATATTCCCACAATTCTATTTATATTTCTAGAAAGGGAACTGACATCTCTTAATACGCAATATAATGCCACAGCACCTAAATAAATATAAAGCAGTTAATGAGAAAGAAAAACAAGCCCATTGCGTACAACCTGTCGTACACGGCAGACGCCTTGCCATGAACTTAACTTCATACGCTCTGGAGTATCCCATTTCTTTTATTGGGACTGGTTTGGACGAGGTGAAATTAAATATTTCCCTGAAGCCTTGCAAGGTTTGTGTCTAGCTCCATGTTACCACACCAGGTACTTCAAATGAGAGTCTACTACTCTCCTCTACATAGGACTGCTTCTATTAAGTTATATTTTTTAAAAAAATGTTAGAAGTTACCTTAAAAAAAATGGCAACATTTCTATGAAGTTATATGTTAAAGGAATTTTAATCGTATTGCCTACATTCCCTATCAGAACGCTAATAGGGCCTAAATCCTACCATTAATACCACATCTCAGAATAGATGGAAGTTCTCATATAGCCCCTTTTCCATACAGGAACTAGGGGATGACTCTTCTCTTGCCTCACTCCTCACCTGAGACAGAGTTCTCCTTTTTCAAAAACATGGGATCAAACTTGGACAAGCACAAGTATGTCCTGCTCTCAGTGAATTAATTTAGGGCACAGCAAGGAAGAAAGATGGGTTAAGAGCAAAGTTTATGGACACTTGCTCTTTCCACCCTCCTTTCTTCCTCCTCACCTTAATTTCAGGAAAAGCAAATTACGCCAGAGCGTGTCTCACTGCAATTCTTTGAGCCTTCTGAAGGTAAATGACAACTGAATGTTGCAAGAGGATGACAAGGCAGAGTTTGCTAATTAATGCTAACATGTATTACGTGTAATTGCGACTGTGATTTGAGGAACACTTAGTGCTAATAGAGCGCCAGCAAGCCTGAATTAAACAGTGCGAGCTGCGCAGCACTGGTTACTGTTAGATTTGTTCCCATCCTGAAAAATCATTTGAAGTATCAGTGCGTGTGGCTGCCGTGGATTTGTTTGTACCCCAGGACTAGGATCCTCTGCGAAGTTATATGCAAAACTGTTTACAAATAGACATTTCACCCACAGAAAATCTTTCCAAATCCAGTTGTAACAGAGAGATGAGACAGCGAGGGGGAAAGGCACACGAAGCGTATTACTCAAGCATATGATTTGGAGTTACGATGCTTGAACTCGGGAAGAACATGAAGTTGACTTTATGGATGACCCTAAATTTGCACCTTTGGGTGTTTCAGGTTGGTTTTTTTTTTTAACAAAATTTCATCTGGTTGCTTGTTCCTTACATATTTGGACATGGGTCCTAAAAACAGCAGGTGGTTAAAGTTTATTTCCGAAAACAGCTTTTCACTGAAGTTTTGGAATAATAAACGCACAGCACCAGTATCTTCCAGAGCAAGACACTCACCTGGTTTGTCTTCAAACTGTTTTCACAATTGGTTACACTGCGGGCTAATTTAAACACTCGTCTGGAGTTTTATAAAAGGTTGGACTATTTAGCGATGGATGTAAATACATTGTTTCATCGTATATTAGATGGAAAAATAGAAAAAAGTTAATAATTTGGATTTTAAATATAACAGTTCCTGTGACAGCCGGTGGCTATTACAAAGCCAGCAGAGGAGCTGGAGATCTCCTTAGATATAGCCAGATAGATCTCCTTAGATACAGCCAGCTCAGATTTCCTTCACTAGATTTCATCTCAAATACATAAAAGCTGGTAAAAGACTCTCTAAGTGAAATGGGGAATACATACAATTCTTCAACTTCTGTTCCAAACTTAACTGTCAGCTTCTGTGCATCTTCTGCTCGGTGCAGAGGGCAACCTGCATCCTCACATGGACTACCCTGTTGTGATCTTCCACTCTCCTCGTGCCTCAAACACAAGAATTGGGTTACAAGGAGGGAATGCACCGGCCTTTCACTTCCGAGCAAGTCTCTTTCATCGTATCTTGATAAACTTCAGTGGGCTATGAAAAACAAATTGAAGTGCTAGTAATGTTCTCTCAGGTCACTCAATGTGAAGATTTTAGCAGTGATGAGCTAAATCTGCAAATTATAGGAAATGTCCCACAAGTACAGTTCAAGGAGAATGTGCTTTCTGCAAAGGATGTAGTGGAATCTGCAAAATTACAGGCTCTAAAATCCGTAGTCAGCTAATATGCACAGAGTTATTCAAAATGGAGGAAAAAAGCAAAGTGGTGTTGAAAGTACCCAAGCTGTTCATTCCTGTTCGTGCAGAAAGTTGTTTCTACAAACATATACGTTGTCTGCGCACAAAGATGGTTTTAAAGATCTCACTGGTTCCACTTGTTCTTCTTTTCAGAGGCATTAATACACAAGCAGGGTCCAGTTCCAGCCTTTACTCGGGTAAAGCTACCTTAGATAGCCACGAAACTTCGCCTCAATAAGGACTGCCAGCTTGACTTTCCATCCCTTCACCTCCCAGCTGAAATCCTTCCAGGTGAGCAATGTCAGACTCGAGAGGAAAAATACTGAATAGCACATTTCAGCTCAGTGAATACCACAAAAATCCCCTAGATTTCTGAGTAGGCTCTTGAAGAACATGGGAGGGGCTATGTGCAGCCATTAAAAACACGTATGATACTTGTATGTGCTATTTCTTTCATTTAACATACTCCATTTCACGCTTCTTAGTGATTGCCTTAAATTTCCTGACTGAAGCAAGGGAAGACTGGTGAAAAGCACAAAGAAAGGTTGGCATTTAAAGGGAGATGTTCAACTGATACAGAACAGCTCCGCTGACATCATTGGTAGCTACAGCAATTGATATCAGCTGATGATCTGCCCTTTATATTCCAAGAACCCCAGAGTGCTGGGTACGTATAGGCACTGGGAGAGCGTTTTAACTCGATCACACCCAGTCCCAATAATAGAATACGTGTCGCTAAAATGCATATGCAACGTATGGAAAAAAAAAAATATAATTCCAAATACATATCCACTCTAGCTGCACTGGAGATTATAGTTGATAATGCAGATTAATGCATTATTTGATTCCAGCTCTAATATTGATTCTCTTCATAACAAGCGCATTTACCTCTTCTTCTCTAGGTCACTTTGGCATCCATAAGCTGATTTTTTTCCTCTGCCTCAAAAAGTTGTTCTGAGGGGACCTGGATGAATAACGGTGTATGCGTCAGGTTAACAATTCGTCACATTTAAAAGATTTTATTGAATCTTCCCTGATTTTGGTGGTTAGTGATACCTATAGTTTTTAACTGGGCTCTCCACACTGAGCAAATTAATTTCAGGTCTGCCTGGCTGAAATCCCTCTGCAGATTTAGAGTTAGCAATGTTATTCTTTCTTGCCTTCCTTACTGACCAAAGGGGAAGCCAAACTATAACAAAATGAACGCATACCAGCGTTAAAGAGAGTAACTATGTCGCTCGTGGCTGTTTCGGGAGTAGCCGAGGCAATCCTGTAACCTGGAGGTTACAAAAATGTGTTGTATGCCTCAGAGTGAACAGGTATAAACCAGCGTAGGTCCTCAAAATAAAGAGTCACTTTGCAAATGTGTTAGGACCCATCTATGCATTTCAAGGGTAAGGTGAAGGCTCAGGTCTCCTATAAAACATGAAAGTTGGGTCTGGAACTTTTTAAGACATATATAGTGTATATAATTTGAATATAAAACCCCCGAATCTCTGGGAAAAATGCAGGATGAGCCTTACATTTTCTGTTACTTTTATTTAGCTCCATCGTGCAACTCTCACTGGAGTCAGGAAGAGGTTTTCCATTCAAAAGTCAGCTGTGAATTAAAGAAAGGATTGTATGGAAATTTGAAACCGCACACAGACAAGTCCAACCCTGAGAGGCAAAGGAGAAGTTGTGGCTCCATTTGATGTCCATCCCTTATTTCTCAGAACAGCTATAAGAACAGCGCTTCCCGATGACTTCTGACAATTTGCATAGATAATTAACTTGCACAGATTGAAAACCCGCAATAAATAGTTTCCCCTATCCTGCTGCTCTTTTTCTGTGGTTTGAGAGCAAGGGAGAGGTCTGGGCACTTTTTTTTTTTCCCTCCATCATCCAGTTCTTCACCTAAATCTCCCTTTGCCCCCATTATAATAAAAAGCCTGCTGACGAGCAGGTACAGAGAAGAACGATGTGGCTTTTGCCACGAAGACTATGTATTTTATCAGCAGGTTACCAGGTAAAGGGTTGAGTGGTTTAGCTGAAATGAGAGTCTTGTAAAGGAAATCAGTGCAGTGGTTAACCTTAAAACTGCATTCATGGATGTACACTTCAACAAATGCAGCAATGAAATGATAAACATGACCCAAATCCTGGCTCTTACTGGGGGAGGGGGAAATGGTGGAGAAAAAAAAAAAAAAAAGATCTGCTCCTTGTTTATTTGAGCCCTGCGCACAGAAGGAAACGGGTTTGGATGCTTCAGCCAGGACTCCGCATTTCCAAAGCGGAGGGGCTGCAATCCATCTGCCTCCCGAGTTTCAGCTGAGTTTCGGATGACGGCAGCCAATTTAAATGTCACTGTTTAATAGGATAACGCGCTCGCGGGGATCGGGCGCCGCTGCCTTCCTCCCACGATGTCTTCATCTCTCCCCGGGCAAAAAAATCTCGGGTTTCCCTTGCCTGATCCTTTCAGTGTCAGCTCCATGTTACCGGAACACGCATCCAGCTGTTTTCCCTATCACAGCTGCATCTCCAGCAGCAGCTTCGGGGTTTGAAGACTGCAGAGGGCGGTGAAGGGGGACGTTCAACTTCACAACAAAAATAAGGCTAGGAAAAGCGTATTTGGGAGGGCTACAAACCTTAAACAGGGGAGAGGGGTGAACTTAGTTCACCGACACTATCTCCAGGGCTGAGCTGCTACTTTCCTGGGAGAGAGAACACCGAAGCCAGGCAGAGTGGTGGGTCTCCCTGGGCTGCTGGTTAAAACCGGGTTTACAAATAAAACCAGGAGCATCGAGTTAGCAAAACATGGCACAGCCATGCAAAGGGGAGCTGGGCAGTGGCACGGGGCTGTGCTTCGCATCGCCTCACCAAGTTCAGGGCCAGAGACAGCCTAGCCTTGACCTCTCAGACACCCTGAAATCTCCCAAGCAGCTACCCAAAGCCTATTTTTAGCCCTCCCTGCCCGGTGTGTGTGTGTGTGTTTGTGTGTGTGTGTGTGTGTTTGCACAATGGAGAAAAGCCCAAGAGCGGGACCAGACGGCCCTGAAAAGGGAAATCTGATTTTATCGCCGGCTGAGGATGCCGGTGACATGATTTCCTTCGGCTGGAAGGTGGGTCTCCGAGTTGCTTAAACAAACTGCAAAGCCGACGCGCCCCAGCTTTCCTCCCAGCCAGTTTAGGCACCCCTGCTCCCGAAAGGAGGTGCTGAGAGTGAACCCACTTTTCCCCCACACCCCACAAAGCTGGGGGGGACGGGGGAAACGGGGTACCCCAGCCACCACAAAGCAACAGGGGCAATTCCCAGTAGAAGAAGAGGGGGGGGGAGAAAAAAAATAAAGCTTCTCTTTCTGGAAACTGCCTCCCAAAGCTGGACACGTTGCGTTTGTTGTGCTGAGAGAAGGCGTTTTCATGGTATCAACATCCAACACCTTCCCCCCACTCCACCCCCAACCCTCTCCCCTCCCCTGGCAAAGTTGGAGGCAAGGCTCTGGGTGTTCATCCCAGCCTTTCCACCCGGGCAGCGAAACTCAGAAAAGGGCAACGAACTCCCCGGACACCCCCCCCAACCCACCACACACACACACACACACTCCCCCCCCAAAGAGGGACGAGCCCGTCAACAAATGACCGGACACGGCGGGGGG